CAGGATCATATACTCATTCAGAGACTAGCTGAAAGAGGGTAATGCCGTGAACAGGGTGCTATGGAGTCTTCTTAAGTACAGGGGGATGGCAAGAATCTTCCCTCAGAATTCTAGAAGTCTGTACCTTGATTGATTGATTGATTGATTTTTTTTTTAAGAAAAGAAAGCTTTCCATGATAAAATTTTGAATGAACTTGGAAGAAAAGTGTGGCTAGAAATTTATTTTTAAAACTTAATTCTGGCACTCGGGAGGCAGAGCCAGGTGTATCTCTGTGAGTTCGAGGCCAGCTTGGTCTGCAGAGTGAGTTCCAGGAAAGGCGCAAAGCTACACAGAGAAACCCTGTCTTGAAAAACCAAAAACCAAAACAAAACAAAAGTTAATTCTGATTTTTCTCAATTTTGTCACTTTCAAGCATTATTTTTATTTTAAAGATTTGTATGCTTTAAAAGGACTCTTTATTGCTAGGTAAATTAGAATGATTAGTGAAGTTGACAATTTAATATTTTATCCACTTAATATATTTGTAAAACTTGCATTTCTATTAAAATATAAAATTTAAAATTAAAAAGGTTTTGTAGTACATTTGTTACTTAGGATATATGATGTATCCTTTTATAATTTAAATGACATTTGTATGTGTCTCTTTACATGTTAATATTCCATGTCTTTGATTCTATTAGTATATATTAGAAGTCATTAAGATAAACAACAAAGTGTTCCTTCTTATCGATATAAATTTAATATGGAACAAATTTTCAAATATTTTCCAAGAGGAATTATAAACCACAAATTTCAGGCTCAATTTCATTATTTATCTCAATTTCAAATTTAATTAAAATATGAAGCTCGTGATATGTGTACTTGTGTGTCGGCACCGGCAATCATATTTATTAAAATCTGTAAATTAAGGAAAAGTCTTGTGACTCAGCATAGTCAGCTGTTGACATTTTCAAGTGCTTAAAGATCAATAATTCAGTTTGTGAATTGAAGTGCTTGGTCAGGCAGACATGGCTCTTCAAGTACTTTGCTGAAATGTCAAGTCACTACTCATCATTCTTTATATATATGAAGGAAGCAGAAATCAGATATGTGAGAAGCTACTTCTGATCTGAAACTTTCATATCTGCTTGCCTGGAAACCTCCAGAGCAATCAGAGCCATCCTAACACTTGCTCAACACCTGTTTATGTGCTCTGTTTTCCATTTCATTTCTCTTCCATGGGTGGAAAGGGACCCAATTTAGACAACATGTGGATTTTGTTATGTCTTACTATTATAATTTTGCTTGTCTTATCCAGATAAGAGCTATGATGCTGTTTCATCTTACAATTCCTAAAATCTCCTTAGATGAGACTGAGTTCCATCTTACCATGTGTATAATCACAAGGCAAATAATGACAGAAGCATTATTGGTATTAGATTCACTCAGATCTTTTTATTGTTTCTATAGACCATTTGTTCCACTTCTCTGCACTTTTCTTCCAGTATTATACTTGTTTCTTCAAGGAGAATTCTTGGTCTGCAGAAAACTAGAAGTCTTTAAAAGGTTGGAAGTATGTGTTCCTCTGGAGTACCACTTAATCAGTCACTGGATACTGAGAGAATCTGAAAATGCACTTCAGGCATTGGGCAGGTCAAACAATGTGATGTAATTTATGTCTCAGAGTTCATTATAGGATCAACCTAAAGCTGAGGTTTTTCTTTTTTCTTCCATTTTCTGCTTTCCTCATACAAATATCTTCTGGGATCACTACCTCAATAAAACATCTGCACATATGTCCTGTCACAATATCTGCTTCTGAATAATATGATCTAAGCTAATGAGATTTTCAATAGATATTAAAAATTATTGTAATAATGATTATAATCATATTAGGAGATTTCATATGGATGATTCAGAATGGTGTGTGTGTGTGTGTGTGTGTGTGTGTGTGTGTGTGTGTATGAGCATTGTGATCTCAAATGACTTCCATATCTTTACAAATTGCTTCATTTTATTTAATATTTGTTAGTGTTTCCTCTCCATATATGTGTGCCTTGTGTATGCCAGAAGAGGGTGTTAGATCCCCTATAAGAGGCATCCCAGATGCTTATGAGCAGCCATGTGGGTGCTGGGAACTCAAACCTGGGTCCTCTGAAAGATTAGAAAGTGCTTTGTAACTACTGACTCGTCTCTCCCACCCCTGACTGTGTATTCTTGCATATATAATTAGAGACACTGATGAAGGTAAGTGGTGGTAGTGAGTGGTTCTAAAACTACTATATTTTTCTTTCTAGGACATAGTGAGAAGTTGAGAAGTACTGAAGGCAACGGACTCACATTCATGGATAGCAATTTCAGAACTACTCAACAGTAGTTGCCAAGTTTACTGTTTCTAAATGGTGAGTTTATGTATGATTCTTTTCTCCTAGAAGAATTCTGACTATATTCTCAAGCTGATTTGCCTCTGAAAGAAATTATCACATCCTTGGATACCAACTATCCTTGAGAGAAACTAACTTCCTTATAACACTCCAGATAACTCAGTATCTTTTTTCAGAACTTGAAGCTTCATTAGATAATTTTCCTGAAGGCTGATGTGATACCTCAATTACATCTCTCAACTAAGGTTTGGTGATGTTCAGGTTCAAATTAAATTCAAGTTCAAAGCCTTTCATGCACACTGAAATCATATTTTTGAATTAACTTTTTTTTCATATTTGTGTAATTATGTAAGCTTTATTTTTTCCCTTTTTATTTCAATAAAGTCTATTGTGATGTTAGAGTACCATAATCAACACTTCTGTGACTGAATGTTTCATTAAATACTAATTTTTATGTAGGCTTTTATTTTATTTACAAACAACATTTCAAAATATTTCATCTAGTTAATTGTAGGTGTTCTTACAGAAACACACCTTTGAAGTAAACTCTCCTAGAATATTAAGTAATGAAAAATAGTAATAAAAAAGGAGAATGAAGGTTAACAAACAAGTTCCATTGATGTATCTAGCCACATTTTTAGGAGGTGACTCACTCTCTTGCCATGAATTCATGACACGATGTGTGAAAAAGCAATCTAATGTGCCACATGAAAGTAATAGGAATATTAAGTCAATACTGAATGAAGTTTTACATTTTTCTTTGAGAACAAGTCATACAAAATCAGGAATCTATATAAGAATAAATGTAATAAGCAAAGATTTATAATAATAATTAAAATATCTTTTAATAACGAATATAAACAAAAGGAAATAACATAAAACTGAAGGGAAAGGTTGAGGGAAAAATATCTTCGAGCTAAGATTTCTTCACTCTCATTTGTTTACTTCTCTGACAAGCCATGAAACATTTTATGTTTAGAGAGTAAGTATGATCAGAAAAGTGACCTCCTGCCACTGTGATAATGAGCTGCTTCCTTTGAATTCCACAGCCATAGGCAGTCCCTTCAAATTCACTTAAGAATGAGTAACCCTGTCCAAGTCTGACTTCATTGCTTTGGATGATTCTTGAATTTTTGGAACATGCATTTCTGGCTGATAATCTGTGCTGGCCGCTTTGGGATCCATGTAGGCATCATCTCATAACCTTGTTGAATTCTGAGAAATATCAACCTTGAAGAATGGCCTAAAAGGAATTTGAAATGACTGAATGAACAAGGAAGTTGAAAGTTATTATTAAAACTATCTCCACTTCTCATGTGCATTGCCCTGTGCTGTTTTTTCTTATTTAAATAGGTGCCCACCCCTCTTTCTGACACCTCTGTTTTCAAGCCATGCATAAGGTAGTAGAACTGATGCCTTCCAGAAGGTTTTCAACTTTGTTTTTTGATTAATAACTTGGAAGAGCTCAAGTCACCTTGAGATCCAGCTTTATGAGGCTATCCCAAAATAGTGCACTGTCTGATCATACACACACACACACACACACACAATTTAACATATATATAATTCATTACTGTATTTACATATATACATATTTGCATATATTAAAGGTGTTAAAATAGAGTTAGTCTATGAAGAGATGACAATGACCCTATAAGACATCAAACAGTATTAAGCAAAGAGCCTAGTGTAAACTGTAAACGATGGACTACCACTTTTGAAGTTGTTGGCCACGGAGGTCCCATAGACCCTGACACATTACAGACTATTTTCAATATTCTTTGTCAACCCCCATCCCCAGAACTTGAGAGTAAGACTCTATTCCTGAGCATAATGCATGCTTAAGTATAGAGCATGAGGAAACCAAGCTTATACTGACCTTAGAGCTTCATCCCTGTTGGGTAGCTTTTATAGTGTTCAAAGTTGCTGTGCTCACTAATAAGGGAGAAAAAAAACCATAAATCTTACAAATTGTGAACCCTGTGAGCTACCATAGTAATTGCATATAAGGAAGATGACAATCACCCATATGCAGATGCTCCTCAGGAAAAAGTACCCTGCTTATTAGGGAAGACCATTCTGCTTTTCTGTGTCCACAGGACTTCACAGCGTGGGAAGGTGAATCTGAGCACCAGTTAAGACACAAAAGAAGTTATAAAGTTTGCAGTCATTGACATCATTACTATTATTAGGAAGAATTATTTTAATCTCTTGTATTTCATGTTTTGCCTGGTTTGTGTGTTTCATAAGGTTTACCAGAAATGTGTCCCTAATTGCCACTTCAAAGGCACACATATTTTCTTATTGAGGCTTGAAATCATGGACTGTATTGCTTTATTTAGAATTTTAATTGAACTCTAAAAAGAAAATAGAGAAATCACATCAGCTATGATTACATATATATATATATATATATATATATATATATATATATATATATTGAAATTGGTTTTGATGATAGGAAGTATCTATTATATCCATCATGCTCTGAAGCTTTTCAAAACCATTATTGAACACTTGTCTTGTTAGTATTAGAATGCAAAGAAACACCAGGTTTACTCAGACTTATGTAAAAGGATGAATTATCAAAGTTAGGGGGATATTGTACTCTGATATTTCACTCCAGCTTTTTCTCAAAATGAACATCTAAATTTGCTACATTTGGAAGTCTCAAGATCTACAGAAGTGAAAGCACACGTTTCTGGTCTTATTTACGATGATGCCTAGAAAAGCACTATGCATTGACAAGTGTTGAGTCGAAATGCTTTTAAGTTGATGATGAGAAATGGTCTAGGTGATTGTCATGATGATGGGGCTGAAGATAACAGCACAGATAAAGTCTTTTCCTGATGAGCCTTTTTTTTTTTTTTTACCAAAAAGCATATCAATAGTTAATGATGGCTTATTGTGAAAATATGACAACCACCTTCCACACAATCTTTTATCTAGCATTTGTAAGAGGCCTGAAAATCTGTTTCTCGGTATTGATAATCAATTGTTCAGTCTAAATGCATAAAGTTCATTGCTTTCTTATTTTGGAGGTTGAGTGGAAGTGATTTCCTGAAACACAGGACTGATAAGAATAATCTAATTGGCTAAAAAAACATACCAAAGTTGACATATTGACTGACCTCTCTTCTGTACTTCAGAACTTTATAGCTACTTATGACCTGATCTAATGGCCATAGTGGA